ACCATCAGTTCTGAGGGTCACCGGACCCGAAACGTTAACTCTGTTTTTTCCCTTCACAGATGCTGCCAGACCTGCTGAGTTCTTCCAACAACTTTGATATTAACTCTCACTGTAATGCTGCATTAAGGACACTGTGCAGTCAGGGGCACACCCAGGTCATAGACTGCACTGGGCTGCATCTCTGAGCGCTTTACTCACTGTCAAAGCACTCACTCACTCTGAGCCTACCTGGATGCTCACTGCACCCCTGCCTTGCTCTGCTTTTTTGCAGAAGGGAGATAGCCTTTGCTCAGGTGTTCCTGGCAAGGTAAGTCAATTGCAGCCTCCAATCCCAGTTCAGGCCCTGATTGCGCAGGTTAGAGTCAGTATCCTCTCCTTACAAATGTTGAGGAGCCAAATGACGGGCAGCACTCCATCCGTCTTGAGTTTTCCTGCCCTCCTGGGATCTGTTTTCCTGGCGGAATGAGGGAGAGGCAGCTCTGTGAGCATCACTGGCGAGGCCAGCATTTATTGCCAATCTCTAATTGCTCACAGGGCAGTTAAACGTCAACCATTTCCTAGTCATCAGCTTTCAAAGCCGAAAAATCCAAGTTACACTTGCATATACACGCAGACACACACACACACACACACACACACACACGCAGACACACAAACACACCAATACACAGACGCACACACAGAAATGTATGCGCACACAGACGGACACACACATACAGATACACACAGACATCCACACACACACAGATACACATGCACATAGATGTACAGATACACCCAGATATCCACACACACAGATACACATGCACACGGATACACACAGACAGACAGAAACAGAGACAGACACACACCTTGATACACATGCACACAGACAGACACGCAGGCAACACAGATAAACTGGTGCGCACCCACACAGACACAGACAGACACACACACACACATAAACACACACAGACACATACACACCCACACAGACACAGACAGACAGACAGGCACACACACACCCACACACACACACACACAAACTGACAAATTAATTCTGAAGAAGGTTCACCAGACCTGAAACATTAACTTTGACTTTTTTCTTCACAGATGCTGCCAGACCTGCTGAGCTTCCAGCAACTTCTATTTTTGTTTGTGAGTGGCATTTTAGACTTTGTGGAAGACTGAGTTGTGCATTTAGCCCCTCTAGAATGCAACTTTTGCGATATTTTTCCTTCACTCAAATTTATTTGTATATATTCTGACCTTTAGTTCTGTTTATTCCATATTGTTTTGTTTTCCTTCAAACATTTCAGACTCAGAGCCTGTTTTGTTTGTCTAGATACAAAGGCAGAAATAAGACAAAAGCAGAAACATAGGAGCAGGAGGAGGCCATTCAGCCCCTCAAGTCTGTTTTACTATTCAGTCAGATCATGACTGATCTGTACCTCAACTCCATAGATCTGCGCTTGACCTAAAACCTCACAAAACTGCCACTTTCAGTCCTAGGATTTCAGGTGAATGCCTTTTTGAGGGCAGAGAGTGCCAGAGCTTCAGGCTGCTTGCAGCAAAGAAGTTTCAGCTGCTTGAACAGCCCAGTTCCAGATTGAAGAAGAAGGCTGGTGGGAGAGCTCAGCAGTGAATGCAAGCTGTGAGGAAAAGGTTGAATGGCCAGTGAAGGGAAAGTGGTGCAAGGTAAGGAATCCCTCCATCCCTTCTCATATGGACTTGGCTGGAAGACAAGTACTTAGCAGCTGTAATTATGAAAAGAAATGTTCAACAGGGCAGCAGCATATCTTAAAGTGAAAGATTAGTTTGCGTCCCTGTGGAGATCATCAGCAAAGCTGCTCCAGTTCTGGTGAAAGGTCCCAATTGTAGTCTGAGAAAATCTTTTCCTTTCAGATGTTGACTTGTTTGTAAATAACTCGTTGAGTGATTTTGATTCAACACTTTGTCATAAGAAGCATTGATCTCGGTGTGGGGAATTGTTACAAATTACGACGATTGAGACTCTGGGAATAAGTGAGACAGAGAGAGAAAGAACAGGAGAGACCCAAACTCTGTTTGAATTGGCAGATCTTTGTGGCTGCTGGCTTTACTTTCACAATATCAGCCTTAATTGCCAAATACATTTCTAGAAACATATATTACCCTGATAAATATAAATTAAATATTAATGGCATTGTGCTTGAACTCGTCTCTATTTTTCAACAGGCAATATCATTTTAATTTTAGGTATGGTTGTCAATTGGAAAGTCAAAAACGTTTGCAAATAGAGCATAAGCATCATGAAAGGATGAAAGGACCGCACTGAAAGCTAGCTGGGCTATTGCCAACTTAGTCAGAAAGTATTTATTGCCATGGTAATTGCTAATATGTTACCTGTTACTTAATAATGAGCAAATCTGCTTTATGTGAACGGCAGTAATTGTAATGTCTCCTCCCCTGAAGGTGATAAATTGTGCTGGATTACATCTCCGTTGGCCATTTACCTATATGTGTGTTTTTCACATCACAGTGACCGGACACTATAACGTGGACAGGCTGAGAGAACGAAGTCCTTGTTGAATGACCATGTGTGTTTCAGACTTTGTGCTGAATAGATGAGAGAGTGGGGATGGGAATGCATGGAAGCACAGAAATGAAAACTATTTTTGTTTATTTATTCACCTGTGGGTGTCACTGGCTGGACGGACACTTATTGCTTGAGCAGGTGGGTGGGTGAGCTGGCCTTCTTGAACCTTCGCTGTCTACGTGCTGTACATGGACACACAATGCCTGAGGGGAGTTGGGGGGTTGTGTGTGAAATTCCAACATTGTACAAACGGTGATATATTTCCGACCCAGGATGGTGCGGGGCTTGGAGGGGAACTTGCAGGTGGTGGTTGTGTATAAATTTATTTACAACAAAAAACAAAAGAGTCTTCTCCAAGGAATGAAATTCACGGACTGAAATCCATTTAGGAGAGCAGGGACTATTTTTTTTGCCAGCAGACATAACGTGGGACGTGGCAGCCCACGCCCAGCCCCGAGGAGATCAGCTCAGTCCAAGACAGAACTTGGAAGCTCCCTTCTCATTATGGCTAAGCTCCACACCATACTGAGCTGCTAGCTAGGTAGCCATCAGGAAATAATTACTTCTTCTTAGTTTCCTTTTGCTTCAGGTAATTAAGTTGGCACTAACTTCACAGAAGATCATGTGTCCACCTCTTTGGGATCTGCATTGACATCTTCAGGTCCTCTGTGCCTGGAACTGTGCGGCAGCAAAGCCTCCTAAGTCTGCCTGTTATTATTAGCCATGTTACAGCGAGGCTAGGAAAAAGCTTACTTATAATTATGACATTTACCACGATCCCGTAAGGCCGGGTTTCTATGTTGGTGGAAATATCCAGAATGAAAAATAACGTATGTTATTATAGCCGAGGGTCAGCATCCCGATCGAAATGAATCAGGAGAGGCTTGCAGGTTTCCTGAAAAAAAAAACTTCATTCACATTCCTGGGGTGTTCCACGCAGCAGGAAACATTGTTAGCAAGTCTGAGATAATGTAGCTGCAAAATGTTTCATTTTGCTCGCCCAGTGACTGTTGCTAACAAACTCCTCGAGTTAGTTTCCTGTTTTAAACACCCTATTATTCGCACGGCGATAAATCATTTTAAAAGTTGACACGCTCATACTGGACCCAGGCATCAAGCTATCTATAATGGCTCTTGACAAATCCATTCTACAATTCAAACTGATATGGTTGATATTGATGTCACACTAAAAACCACAGACAAATTAAGTCCTAATGCAGCAGAACGTTGTACGCATTCAGCAGCAAGGCTTTTGTTGTGTGACATCCACAAGTGGCAAGTGTAGCATTTGCACTCTGGTGTCCCCGGCAATCATTTATAACTGTCAGGACCTGCAGGAAATGTGACAAATACTGATTACAGCTCTACACAATATCCATTAGGGACACAACGGGTAAAATATGGCTGCATGTAAAATTTCAACAACACCAAACGTCAGAAAGGCATTCATTTTGTCGGCCTGCACAATTACTCTCGCACCCTCTCAAATTTTCAAAATAGATGCGTGTGCCTATGCACAGATAGATTGTTTCACAGCTGACGATTTCTTGGCTTTGATCGCTTTTTTAGAGATATGGCCTAGTGGAAGAGATTGTCAAGTGCAGCAAGTGCTGACTCAGTCAAAGCATTCCGCAAGAAATTGGGCTCTTTCCTAATGCACCAGGGAACAAATGCAGCTGGGCTCGGCAGTGAAGCAAGGACGAAATTAAATGGCTTGTTGGGGCCCAGACCCTGGATATGAATGATGGGACAGGCAGGTTAAACTGAATGTCCTCTTCTCATTTCTAATTTTTTGACACTCTGTCTTGATGCATTCAAATTTCCAGAGCGCACTGCAACCTGATGTGGGAGTTTCTGGCTCGTGCACAACTGAATTCTTCTCATATTTTGAATCTGTACGATTACCAAAATTACACCAAAGTTTGACAGATTTGGGGGAAAGAGAAAGTATGTAAGACATTCCAAGTCATGAAGTCTGTGGGACTGACTCTTACAGAGGCTTAGCTGACTTGGGCTGTGGGAAGATTTGTGACCGAATCCCATTGAGGTCTATGTAGACATGGGGGGCAATTCATTATGTCTTTTACTCAGCTACTGAGTGGCCGGCCATGTTACACTGGGCAGCAGTGAGTTGCCAACTAAGGGAGTCTATTGCTTGTTAAACTCCTTCTCAATACACAACTCCCCTCGTTGTGTTCATCCAGCTCTACACCTTGTTATCTCAGATTCTCCAGCATCTGCAGTTCCTACTATCTCTCCCCTCATTAACATTCAGCTTGCTATCTTACCAAACAAGATGGAAGTTGAGAGCTCTCAATGCAGCAGTCAGAGCGGCTAGCTAGGCACTTCAGCTCAATGTTGCCTGTAAAAAGCCTCCATGTTATTCAACATCGCCAGGGTACACTCCGCAGGCACCAGCCACATGCAACCCTTGTCCATGGACGTTGGAATCCAACATTGACTTCTGTTCTGCTGGGACTCATTGATGCCACACTTGGTCAAGTGCAGCTTTGATGCCAAGGGCAGTCACTGTCACCCCACCCGTGGACTGTGTGTTGGACACTCTTACCAACACTGTTATGGACAGATAATTCTGTGGCAGGCGGGTTGGCGAGGACGCGGATCAGATATGTTTGACCTTCTTGTTGGTTCCCTTACCCATCTGCTGTGGATTGTGGCCCATTCCCAGAACTGTAGAGAGACAAAGCCCCTGACCGTGACCACTGCCAGTGGTCAGCTGACTGTGCCCAAGTCCCTGCACTGAGTCGGTGCTGCCTTTGAGTCTCTGTACTGGGATTTACCCTGCCTTTCATCTGCACCACACCCACTTGACTTGACTGAGGACCCACCTTTCAGACATGACCATTTCATTGATGTAGGTACGGGGTGGTTACCACCAAGGCTGGTGGCACATGGTGCCAGCATGAGATTAACCCAGCACAGTGCCATCCAGCAACACACTCAACCCACCTTGACTGATCACTGCTGACAAACAGGATGCGCTGCCTCGTTTTGTGTCTGCATTAAAATACAACACAAGGCAGAAGTACAGTGAGCCTTTCAGTTCTGGGCTGAGGGATACAAAGTGCAAAAGGCAAGGCAGGGATGCTGTGAGCATCCAGGTAAGTGCAAAGTGAGTGTGTGCTATGAGAGTGAGTGTGCAGCACTGAGGTACAGCCTAGTCCAATCTCTGAGCAGCAATGAGCGGTGACGGTGTGCTCCAAAGTGCAGCACTGAAGTATGGAATGGTATTATGGGTGTAGACGGGAGATGTGCCATGTTGATGGAGTAAGGCTGGTATCTGTGGCCGTGGGGTGTGTGCAGCTACTGCCTGTGGTGCACTCCCTAAGACATCGGTACCAGGTGTATCTGGAATCGCCAGGTATCTACTCTGACTTTCACATCAAGAATTCTCAACGTGTAGTTTCTGGGAAAATGGGAATCTGCACAATAATGAGGTGAGATTAGATAGCAATGAGGTTGGTAATCCTTATTAACAGTCCTCTTGCTACACACTGGTGAGAATTGTGTTGTGACAGCCAGGACTTGCTTGGGTACAGAATCTTGTGGTCATATTACTGGATTCTAATGAACTAGCGACATGAGCTCATCATCACACAACAGTTTGTGAACTTAATCCAAGAATTAAATGAACGGAAATAAACAGCTGGTGTCAGTAAAGGTGACCAGGAAGCTTGTGGATTGCTGTAAATCCATCTGGGGGGTCACTGCTGCCCTTCCAAAGAAGGAAATCTATTGTCCTTATCCAACTATGCGCTACTGCAGATTGACACCAATGTGGATGACACTTTGCTGCCCCCTCAAATCCTTGTGTTGATTATGGAAGTCATGTGATCTCAGTTAACTAATCTCGGTAGTCAATCATTAGTAAGCAATTTTCAGATAGTTTATTAAATTTGTTAAGCAGCAGTTTGGATACCATGTTCTGTTCAATTGGACAAAGAAAGGAAATATAAGTCCACTTTAATGAAAACACTTTATTGATGCAGGAGGCATTCTGTAGAATGGAGGAACAGGGGCTACAGTTTGGAGTGATGGAGTGTTCTCCCTGAATTATGCAATTCTTGGAGGCAGTCTTGACAGTTACAGTCTTTATTCTTTCTTCAGGAAGATGTAAGGGAACTCCTGGTCTTCTCCTGGGTCACTCTCTTCCCACTATCTCTGTTGAGACACATTATTCTGAGCCCTGGCCATCTCTGTTGTCCCGATCGTCTAAATGAATCGTCTCAACCAATGATCATGCGCAGCTACACATGACACCAGGATAACCATTGCCACCTTGCCCATCTTCATCTGAGGATTAGTTCACTATTCTATCAAAGACCAAAAGCTCCTTAAACCAAACTATCACAATAAGATAGTGTGTCACCCAATAAATCTTTGATGTTGGTTATAGCCTCAGCTTGTTATGACCTTTCCTTTGTTTCTATATGGTGTAGATCTGTTTATATTTGTAGAAGGCTTGTTCCTGCTAATAACTCTCAGTCTACACAGAATACCACATGGGAAATACGAAAAAAGGATTGAGTTTGAAAGAGAACCCCAATTTCCAACACCTGAGTAAGTCAATAAATCAGCTTACCACCAACTTTCTCAGTGAATTACAGATGGCAGTGGATTCTAGTCTTGGCAGTGATGTCCTTAACCTGTAAATAAATATCTTATTTTTAAAAAAAATTGTGAGGGACAATCTAAGAAACAGGAACAGTTGCTCGATCAACCTGCATTACATAATGCAAGCCAAGTGGAACCGAGGGTAACGATAGAATTCTACACTGCATGGGATAACAACATGGCCAGTGGAACAGCATGGGACCCAGATTAGAAGTCAAGAAAATCATTGGTTATTCAATTTTCTTTTGCATTAAAAAAAGTCCATATGCTAATCACGTTCTCCCTGTTATCTCAATTTAATCAGGGCAGGGCAGAAAGTTGCAATGAGCCCTAAAATGAAATAATGATCCCTGACCCAGAGCGCATCATCACTAACCTCATCACTGTAATTAGAGCTACACTCTAGGTCACATGCTACCCGCTACTCACAGGTATCTTCTTAGCTGGTTAGTTTAGCCGGAGATCCAAGAGTGGATTCTACATGGAATCAGTATAAAGAAAGGGATAAAAAGTATATTACCTCCGATTTGACAACTCCTACTCTGCAATTGTAAATTAGGGACAGTGCTAATCATGTGAAAGGTTTCCAGAGCCACAGGCGCTGGGAACAAGCGTTCGAATCCTACCATGGCAGATAAGCGAAACGTGAAGCAACAAAAATCCGGAATTAAAAGCTAACCTAATAGCAACCATATAAACAATATCGATTGTTGTAAAAAAAAAACCCATCTGGTTCACTAATGTCCTTAAAGGTAGGAGATCTGCCATTCTTATCTGGCCTGGCCAGTGTGACTATAGACCAACGGCAATATATGTGACTCTTAACCACCCTCTGAAATGGTCACAACAAACTACTCAGTTTGAGGGCAATTAGGGATTAGAATGGGATAGGGATGGCCCAGTTAGTGATGAAGGAATAAAATAAAACTTGACGGGGCCCCGGAGAAAGAAATGCAGCATCAGTGCAAAATGTATCAACACAAGAAAATATTTAACGTTCCTGAATTTATATCACTCAGGCTCGATGGAAGTACCAGAAGTAATATTGCAATTATATTTCCATTCAGCCCCAAATGCTGTCAAAAGCCTAGATCTTCCTCTCAATCAGCACCAACGGATAAATACATTTCCTAACTGGAGAAACCTGGGAGGAGAGATGTTCTCCCAACCCGGTCTTTGTGTCCACCAGCTGCATAGTCTCATCCCACCCTGGCTGATACAAGAAACCCTGCATAAAGCAGACGTTAAACATGGCTAGCGTGCCCTTGAATTAGAATTTTAGTGTCACTTGTACTCAAGTACAGAAGTACATGCATACAGTGAAAAGTGTACCATGTCACCGTTCCTGGTGCCATCTTAGGTGCAAAGTTACTTAGGTACTAAATCTTAGGTCAGAAATCACACAACCCACCAGGTAATAGTCCAACAGGTTTATTTTAAAACACAAGCTTTCAGAGCTCAACTTTTCAAATAAATCTGCTGGACAATAACCTGGTGTCATGTGATTTCTGACCTTGTCCATTCCAATCCAACACCAGCACCTCCACAAAATCTTAGGTACAAAGTAGAAAGATAAAGAAATAAAGTTAAAAGTTAAACATTACAGGTAAGGAGTACATTCAAGCCTTGCAGACATTTTAAAATTACCAGGAAGCCTTAGTGAGCTTACATTTGCTTTCTATATGTTAACGCCTTGTTCAATCAGGGTAGATTTGCCATCCAATCAGCAACCTTTTTTTCCTGTCGTTTCTGTGGTGAGTGATCGTTTGAAATTTCTCATTCTTGAGTTTGATCAAATAAGTGCAAGCTTTAGCACAATGTCTCACTTCCCGACCATACTACAAAAAAGGACCAGAGTCTGTTGTAGCTAATCTGATAAAGATGGCATATCATATTGAGGAACAAGCATCAGGGTTTTTGGAAAGCACAGAATCCAATCTACACACGTCTCATTTGGAAAACAGACGGAGGCACTGATGTGAAATGCTTTATTATTTATTCACGGAGGTGGGCGTCACTGTTTAGCAGTTATTGTCCATCCCTAATTGCCCTTGAGATGGTGGTCAAGAGCAGCCTGCTCAGCAAATCTGCATTGTTATGGGCTTGGACAGCAGATTTATATCCCTAATAATCCAGCAATCCAGCATCTTTGTGCTTGACATTACTACGAGTAGCTTTTTAATGTTGATTCATTTAAGAGATTGAATTTGAAAGTCCCAGCCAGGATGGTGGGGCCTGAATTCACACCTCAGGATCATAATACCAATCTCTAGATTAATAGGCCAGTAATGTAACTGTGATGATCGCATACCTATATATTGTAGGGTTATACCACTGAAGGAGCTGTATAAAGGAAAATAAAGGTTTGGTCATACAGAATTTATAAACATTACTGAAAGGAGAGTTGAAAATGAAACTTTTTGTCTTGCACTTGTTAGAACTAGGTCACAAGAAAGAGACTTGATCAAAGAAACGCCATTTTATAGAGAATGATAGGAAGGTGCTGATTGGTTGAGCCAATGAAATATGATAAATGAAATGGAACTGCAGAAATTAACTGTCAATCATCAATTTCAGAGCAGGCAGCTAGATTCTGGTTGATTAGAGCAATGCCATAGCGTTCCAACAGAGTTTGGCTATCTCTATGAACAATTTTTTTTGGAAAAAGGTGCAAAGTATGGACAAATTCCTTTTGTTCATGAAAACAGGGTCCTGGGTATTTATGTACGTAATTGCAGCATGTACAAATGGATCAGACTATGATAATCTCAAATTGGTTTCTG